TGCTGCTGCTGCTGCTGGTGCAGCAGCAGCAGCAGCAGCAGCAGGGGAAGCAGCAGCAGGACTCTCTCTGCCTGGAAGCCCCATGAGCTGCTTCTATTTATCACCTCTAGGGTTTACAGGGGCACTGCAGCGCGAAAGAACCATTTGTACGGCCCCTCCCTAAACCCTAAACCCTAAACCCTAGGCCCTAAACCCTTAATGCTAAACCCCAGGTCAAAGAGCCAAGCTACGGGGGCGACGCGTTTCTCTTTTGGCTTCCAATGAAGCTCTTTAGGGTTTAGGGTTTAGGGTCTAGCAGCCCTAAACAGTCGAAGAGCTAATCCAGTGTGGTCTAGGGTTTAGGGTTTAGGGTCTGAGCCCCCATAGGGATCTCTGCGAAGTCCGATTCGGCGGTTTCACCTGTATCACGCGCTGCGAAGAAAGGGTTTAGGGCTTAGGGTTTAGGGTTTAGGGTTTAGGGTTTAGGGTTTAGGGTTTGGGGTCTAGCAGCCTCGGCGCCCGCAGCAGCGCCAGGAAATGCTGCTGCTGCCCCGCTGCTGTCAATACAGCAGAAAAAAAGAGAGAAGAAAAAGAAAGAAAACAACTAAAGGGTTTGCTGCTAATTGCTGCTGCTGCTGCTGCTGCTGCAGCTGCTGTTGCTGCTGCTGCTGCTGCAGCAACTCGCGAGAAAGTACCTGCAGCACGAACCACTCCGAAAGCCAAAATGTCAGTTGACTTCGAATTGAGGGCTCTTTTTCAACGGTTTAGGGTTTAGGGTTTAGGGTTTGGCTGCGCCCGTCTGTCGATGCCGCTGGCCAGCCCCCAGCCAGTGGCTCTGGAGCGGAAACCAAACCCCAAACCCCAAACCCTAAACCCTAAACCCTAAACTCTCGCCCCTAAATTAGGGCTCTCGGTCCACAGCTGCTGACTCTTTGACTAAACCCTAGCGCCGAAACCCTAAACCGTTCCCCCGCCTCGGAGAGGGTTCAGGGTTTCAGGTGCGCAGGGCTAAACCACGATTTAGGGTTTAGAGAAGGGCGCACACAGCCTCCCCGAGGGTTCCGTTTCCAGCCTCCGCCTGCGCTTTCCAGGGTTTAGGGTTTGGAACGACTGAGGGTTTAGTTCTTCACTGCTGCTGCGAGGGCTTAGGCTAAGGGTTTCGAGCAGCAGCGACAAAGGGTTGCGCTGCCTCAAACCCTGCAACTCTAAACCCTAAACCCTAAACCCTTAAACCCTAGAAGGGCCAGGGTTTAGGGTTTATCTCTCGAGGAGCCACTAGGGCTGCAGCTCCAAACCTTAAACTCGTACACATCACTACCACGTGCCACTACTGCTGCTGCTGCTGCAGCTGCTGTTGCTGCTGCTGCTGCTGTCGCTGTAGCTGCTGCTGTCGCTGTTGCTGCTGCTGCTGCAGCTGCTGCTGCTGTCTGTGACAGCACTGCCTACCATCTTTTGCTGCACTCTTCAAGTGTACATACACCTCAGCAGCTATCTACAGCAGCCAGACGCTGGCTAGGGTTTAGGGTTTGCGTGAGGGTTTAGGGTTTGCATGAGAGGGTTTAGGGTTTGCATAAGGTCTAAGAGTCCTCAAGGGTTTTTTTGCAGACCCCAAAACCCTCAGGGTTTAGGGTTTAGGGTGCTGGCCAAGGTTCCCTGCTGGGCTTTGCCGCCGCGCCCTTGCTGCTACAAACCCTAAACCCTAGACCCTAAACCCTAAACCCTAAACCCGAGGCCGTCCTGAGCAGCTGCTGCAGCTGCTGCTCTTGGGCCCCCGAGGACCGTCTCCCTACTGAGCTGTCTGCTGCAGCAGCAGAAGCTGTTGCTGCTGCTGCTGCTGCTGCTGTACACGCCGCTTCCCAGTTGTCTCCTCCGCTTGCTTGCGCTGTCTACGCTGCCGTGTTGCTGCTGCTGCTGCTGCTGCTGCATTCCTGTCGTGAGCAGCAGGCACCCCGGTACTCCAGGGGGTCTGCAGCAGCAACTGCTGCTGCTGCTGCTGGTGCTGCTGCTGTAGCAGCTATCATCTGAGAGGCGCCTGGCCCTCCGTACAATGGGCGAGGACTGCGGAAAGTGCTGCTGCTGCTGCTGCTGCTGCTGGTTGCTGCTGCTGTAGAGCCTCCTCTGTCTGTGGCTGTTGCCGGAGGCCTCCCAGTCGCTGCAGCAGCAGTTTGCGGGCGCCTCGCTGGCCCGCTGCTGCTGCTGCTGCTGCTGCTGCTGCTGCGGGGCCACGGGGCGCGCTATGGCCAGCGACAAGGTGCTGCAGCAGGAAAGCTGGCTGCTGCTGCGGTCCAAGGAAGCAACTCCAGGAGAAGAAGATAAATATAAATCTGTTGGAGGCATTTGAGCAGCAGCAAAAGAAAAACCAGCAGCAAACAAGCTGCTGCTGCTGCTGCGGCGGCTGCAGTTGTAGCTGGGGCGCGGCCGCTGGAACAGCGGCGACGGCCACGG